TTATCGTTTATATTTTGTCCTACCTCCCTTCGAAGACAATGGGCTGCTTTTCTGGGCGCCTGATGTCCTCTGCTAGCGATCAGAAGTTGTTTTGTGAAATTTGCTCAGCGTTCAAATGTTCTTTCGATGAATTTGCAGGAGAGAAAGTGGTCTCTCCGTCCTATTCCTCCGCCATCTTCGAGGGTTTGATTTAATATAAAATTTAATGTAAAAGAGACAGTTATTCTTTAAATCCCTTCTGAGAGATAAATGAGGGCATGGCTAATCCAGTGTCTAGTGGGAATGGTCCTCACAGATCTATATTCTTAGGGAATTCAAAGGTAACACCTCTGTCTTCTACTTCAGGGCCAGATGAGTCTGTGGGCGCTATCACCAGGGAGCCAAGTCGAGGAGAACGTGGAGGTACCACTCGGCCAACCAGTAATCCTGCATCTCTTATGACTACGATCAGTGTGGGTAAGTAGGAGCACCATCTCTATCTCTTTTTTTTTTTTTTTTTTACCATTTTATTTATTTACATTCGGATGTGCTGGGTCTTTGTTGACACACGGGCTTTTCTCTAGTTGTGGTGAGCAGGAGCTACTCTATACTTGTGATACACAGGCTTCTCACTGAGGTGACTTTTCTTGTTGCAGAGCATGGGCTCTGGAGTGTGAGGACTTCAGTAGTTGTGGCTCATCAGCTTAGTTACTCCAAGGAATGTGGGATCCTCCCAGACCAGGGATCGAACCCATGTCTCTTGCACTGGCAGATGGATTCTTATCCACTGAGCCACCAGGGAAGCCCATCATCTCTATTTCCTTCAAGGCTATCCCATTTGGGTCCTTTCCCCTCATCTCTGGGGTCAAAAGTTGGATTGTTTAAGGAAGTAAAATGACAAGGTTTGAAATCTATTTCTTTGGCTTTTTGCCCCTCTGAGGATGTTGATTGTTTTTTTCCTAGAGATTGTATTCATGGAACACGTTTATTGCTTCACCCTAGTTATTTGTATAGTTCGTAATAGTAGCCAATCAATTCAGCAACAGAAAATGTCACAGGGCCAGTTCTCTGAACACTTCGTTTCTAAATCAGAGATCATCACTGGAATCTTGTGTTGACAGGAAGGACACAGACAGACTTAAGGTAATATAGATTTCTTTGGTTGCAATAGAAGAAGGGATCATGGTCCTTGGCCATGCCAACATAGTGAGAATAATCTGCAAAAGTGGTCCCCAGGAAGAGTGCTCTTAGAAGGTTAAGCTTTTCTCACCCCTGTGGCAGTTACATGTCCTTCTCCTCAAGGATGGGAAAAGGGTTCATGGAGACAGATGAATTTGCAAGAGGTTGAAGGTAAAGAAAAAGAATTCTGTTGCCCTTCTAGTCTCTTGCTTCTCAAATAGAAATCCTTATGTGGCTTTTCAGTGAACTGAGATTTAGGACATCTAGAGGAGGCTGCAAGTTGTAAGTTGAAACTGGTTCAGCAAAAGCAGGCACCAAGGAGAAAGGTAAAAACAGTAGGGAAAGTCTCTAGCATGGGTAGAGTCCAGATTCAGCATGCCCTTCCTTGTACAGAGTCTTTCTTTGTAGGGTATGCAGTACACTGGGTTCCAGGTAACAGTTTCTCCTGAGCAAACAACATGGGTCAAAGCCTTCACCCCACTCACCCTAACCCCAACCCACTTTGATTCATCTTTGGGATGGTCAGTATGTTCCCTGGTGTCCAGACTCTGGAAGTGTGATAGGAAAGGGTAAACATTCCTTTCTGGAGAAGAAGGAAATACTTTGAATTGAAGTTACAGGAAGGGACAAATTATACTGTCAACCAGGAGGACACCCTTTCTGTACCATTTGCATATCTCCTACCAACTCGCTTTCTAATCACAGGTATGTCCACAAGAAGCCCAGAAATGGCTACAGCTTTGAAAATCATAAGCTCCCAGGAGCCCAGCATCAGCCCAGAGACCAGGTACACTCTGGAAAATTCTCAGAAGACTTCAACAGCAGCTGTCCCTATGGTGACCGCTGTGGAACCAGCCACCCTTCAGTCCATGGCCACAGGGAGTGGCCACAGCAGCCTCCCTCACTCACCCATAGGATTCGTGACAGCAGCCAAGCCGCCAGCAAAAGGGAGAGCAGCTACAGAGTGGGTCTCACCCTCCCCATCTGAGGATTGGACCAACACCCACCTTGGGACTCCAGAAGGGACCAACAAGTCACTGGGCACAGCATCCTCTATCCCCCTAGGGTCAGTTCCTAAAGTCACCATAGGGACTAGTCCACAAAGCAGCCCAACTCAGATTCCAAGGACAACTGGAGTGAGTTTCCCTACATGGCTTGGCTCTGCTAGAGGGACCACAGTGGACACACATGTCCCTCTGAGCACATCTTCCACTAGTCCTAAAGACTCTGCAGCCGTCCCAGACTCTGTGGCAACCCAGACAGTAACCATGAGCTCAGAGACATATAAACCTGAATTTATAACCCAGACAAAGGTCGGCCCCACAGTCATTCCTTCCACTGTCCTGAGTAAAAAGACAATAACAGGTGAACAGCAGTCAAGCATATCCATGAGTGATGCTTACTCATCTGCCAGCCCAAGGTCAGAGCAGACAACTGGGAGGGACCTGACTCTTGGTGGATCTCCTGGGACCACAGACATGTTGCCTAAAACCTCCGTAGAACCTACCATATTAGCAAATCTGACCTCTGAAAGCCAAGCCATGACCAGCCTCACTAATGCCTCAGAAGGAAAAACAGCCTCTTCACCATCTGTCATATTCCCCTCAATGGGGTCTAAGACACTGGTGGCCATCACAAGTGTAGTGACCAGTGATGTTGCCTCTAATCTTGGGCAACTATCACAGACCTCATCTCCTGCAGCAGTGACCACCATGGATGTAACCACAGCCCCCACTCCAAGTACCATCACCACCATCACCACCATGGAAACCAACTCAGTCCTGACTACCATGCCTAACCCGAAGGAGAGTGTGAGCACCATGGACAGCACCCTGGCCACAGAGACCAGCACATCTGCTCTTGAGCACCCACTCACGTGGTCATCTACAGCTTCACCAGCCCCAGCGTTTGGTCCCTGGACCATCACAAACATGACTTCACGCTTGGAAGCCACAGGTTCTCCTACAGCAATTTCTGCAATGGGTACAACTTCATCCTTAGCATCAAGCACTGAGTCAGGCTCTGAGTCTACCCCCCCTGACCTTGTGACTGTTGTCAGAACCAGCCTAACCATCCCATCCTACCATGCTTCAGCTGAAAAGACAGAGGCCAGCACAAGTGTAAGAACATCGAGTCCTTTAGACAAAACTGCATCTGTGCCCATCTCAACTTCTGTTGTTGAGAAGATGAGCACCTCATTTGCTGACATTTTAAGCACCAGTTGGACTCCCAGTAGAAGACAAACGGAAGCCATGCATGTCTCAATGGCTTCTATGGACCATCCAGATACAAAGATTATCCCCAATGTCCTCCCATCCACTCCTCTGCCTGATTCTCTGTCCACTCTTGACTGGGTCAGCAGGAGTTCTGTGTCATCAGCTGTAACCACTACCTCAGCTCATCAAGGGGTCACAACTCCTCCCAAATTCCCTTTGGAGAACATGATCAACACAACTACCTCGCAGCCAGCAACCTCCATAGGGGACATTACAAGTAGTGTCACTCCTGCTACAATAGTAAGTAGCCCTAAAGTCACTTTATCTGGGAGGCCAGATCTTGCTAGCAAGGAAGCAGAGAACAGTTCTCCCCAGCTTTCCACCACAGCTGCTGCAGATCCAGGACATGTGTCTATACCAGAAGCAACAACTCGGGATTTAATCCCACACACAGTAAGAACACCATCTCCAACTCCCCAGGAGAATGAAATAAGGACTTCTACAATGGAGGCAAGTGTTCCCACCTGGACAGTGAAAAAACACAGCTCAAGCACATCTCTGATCCCCGAGGTCTCCTTCATCTTAGGAGGGACTGTCAAGGAGGTTACTGACTCCCCAGGCTCCTTAAGAATCACGAATCTACCGGGCATAAGCGTGGAATCTGGGACTACTTCATCTCCAATGTGGAAAAACAGCCCATCTGAGAGAAGAGCAACTTCTGAACCTACCACTGACAAAGAGGTCATTCACCCATCTACAAACACAGTAGATGCAACAGTATGGCCCTCAAGTTCTGAGCATGATCCTCATGCCACTGTCCCCACTCACTCAGAGTCATCCATGGGCACATACCTAATGAACACTACCTCCATCATGGGGAATACCATTGTTTCAGCACCAGCAACCACCCGGCCAGAATCCACAGGGGCTGGAAGAGAGTTTGATTACCCTCTGACCACTGAACTGAGGGAGTCCAATACTTACATGGATGTCAACTCAACCACAGAGATCAGCACTGTCCATTCCCCAAGTCATTTTGCTACTACTGGGGGGCCCAGGACAGAAGTCACTACCTCTGACAGAAATTTCAGCCCAGATCTAACTCAGTCCACAAGGTCGTCAGACATCACCAGGCCCTCTACCTTCCCTGACATGACGGAATCTGAAAGAAGGCCCATCACCATGCAAACAAGTCTTTCTAGGGCTACATCACTGGGTGCACCTACCTTGGACACATTAGCCACAGCTTCCTCATCAGGCACTCACTTGGCTGTGACTCACGGATTTCCACAGTCAAAGATGACTGCTCTAATGAGCCAAGGTCCTGAAGATGTATCACGAACAATCCCTCCTTCTGTGGAAGAAACCACCTCTTTGTCTTCTGTGACACGCATCTCTGCCACAACCTCATCTTCTCATGTTGTGTTGACATTACAAGGGCAAAGTACCTCCTCTCCTCTACCTGTGACCTCACATCTCTTGCCTGAGAACTCTGGCTTGGGAAAGGTCACCGACACATTGAGGTCCAGCCTGGAACCTGACACCAGTTTGCCACCAAATTTGAGCAGCAGCTCACTTGAGACACCAGTCACCACAGAAACAAAAGCAATGGATCCTTCCACAAACACAGCAGTGACACCTGTAGGGGCTACCAGTTCTGGACATGAATCACACTCTCCTGTCCTGGCCCACACACAGCCATCCAAAGCTACGTCTTCAATGGTTACCTCCTCTACCGTGGGGGACATAACTGCTTTCACATCGATGTCTGGCTCATCTGAGACTATAAAGATTGAGAGAGAGTCAGCATCCTCTCTTAATACTGGGCTTAGGGAGACAAGTACCTACCAGAAGACCATCTCTGCTACAGAAATAAGCACTGCCATTTCTAATGTGTCTATAAGTGATGCTACTACTGAGGTCATGAGGACACAATCTACCTCATCTAGCAGGATATCCATTCCAAGTCCTCACTTCAAAACTTTTCCAAACATACCTACAGAAAGCAGAACCAGCCCCTCCACATCCATGCTCATGACAGAATCTTCAGAAGTGACCATCACCACCCAAACAGGTCCTCCAAGCATGACAACACGAAGTACCCTGACCTTGGACACATCAACTCCGGCCACCAGGGAAGGAACCCACTTAGCTGTGACTCAGAAATTTCCACAATCAGAGATGACAAATGTCATGAGCAAAGGTCCTGAAGATATGTCTTGGACAAGTCCTACCTCCATGGGGGAGACTAACTCTCCATCTTCCCTAGAACCCATTTTCACCACAACCTCACCTTCTGCACCTTTCATGTTACAAGGGAACAGTACCTTCTCTCCTGTGTCCAAAACCTCAGTTCTCACCTCTGACTTGGGAAAAACCAGAGAAGTTTTGGGCACAAGCTTGGAACCTGTGACCAGTACACCTGAAAGTGTGAACAACATCTCACAGGAGATACTAACCTCTTCAGAAGCCACCAGCGATACAGAAACAACTCATTCTTCAAGAATCACAGCAGTAACTGATATGGGGATCACTAATTCAGCACACAAATCACAGTTCACAGTCCCAGCCAACACAGAGTCACCCAAAGCCACATCTGCGATGGTTATCTCTTCTCCCATAAGAGACACCAGTGTCTCCACATCAACTCCAGACTCTTCCAAAACGGCACAGGTTGAGACAGAGCCAACATCTTCCTCAACCGCTGGACTAAGGGATACCAGCACCCATCAGGAGGAAAGGTTAAGTAGAGATCCTTCCAAAAACACAGCAGTAACCAGTATGAGGACCACCGATGATGAACACAAATCACGTTCCTTTGTCTCAACTGACTCAAAAACATCCAAAACTGTATTCCCAATGAATACAGCCATCACCATAGGGAAAACCACTGTTTCCACCCCAATGTCTAGCTTCCCTGAGACTCCAAGAATTGAAGCTGAGACAAGTTCCTCCTGGATGTTTGAAATGAGGGGAACCAGCACCTCCAAGGAAACCAGCTCATCCATGGAGAAAACTATCCTTCCTGATATGAACACTGGTTCTGTTAGTGAGGTGACAGGGACGGAAGACATCTCCTCTCGTGGTGGGCTCAGTCCAAGCCCTGCCATTTCTACCATGTCACCAGTAATCTCCACAGAAACTATCACAAGACTTTCTACTTTCCCCACAATGACAGAATCAACAGAAATAACTGTCACCATTGAACAAGGTCCTCCTGCAGCTACATCACAGAGTACCCTTGACTGGGACACATCAACCACAACATCCATGGTGGGGACCCACACAGCTGTGACTCAGGGACTTCTAAACACAGCGCTGATGAGTCCCATGAGCACAGGTGGGACAAGCCCTGCCTCTGTGGAAGAAACCAGTTCCCCGTCTTCCCCAGTGACTTTATCTGCTGTGACATCACCCTCCCCTGAGTCTCCCACATTACTAGGGAGGAGCCCCTCCTCTCCTACCCCTGTGACTTCACTTTTTACCCATGGTCTGGTGAAGACCACAGACACATTGGGTACTGGCTTGGGACCTGTGACCAGTTCACCTTCAATTGAGATCAGCTCCACCACTGAGATACTGTCCACTTCTGGAGTCTCCACAAGTACAGAGGCGATTCAGCCTTCTGAAAACACAGCTGAGACCCATGGGGCCAATACAAGTTCTGGACATGAAGCTCATTCCTCTATCCCAGCTGACTCAGAGCCATCCAATGTTACATCTCTAATTGTTATTCCTTCCAGCTCTAGAGAGAACCCTGTTTCCACACCAGTGCCTCACTCGACTGAAACTACGATGACTGAGACAAACTCCATATCCTCTCTGAGCCCTGAACTGAGAGAGACCAGCACCACCCAGCAGAACAGTTCAACCACAGAGAAAATCACTCTTCTTTCCAAAGTGCCTACTCATATGACTACTGAGATTTCTAGCATACAACCCATCTCCTCCACCAGCACATCCTTCCCTGGCCCCCCTCAGTCCACCATGTCACCAGACACTCTTAAAGGCATCATCACCAGCCTCTCTACCCCCTCCGTGACCACAGAATCTGCAGAAGTGGCCGTCACCAACCACACAGGTCCCTCTGAGGCTACATCACAGGGCACACTTACCTTAAACATAGAGACTGAAACCTCTGGGGTAGGGACTCACCCAGCTGTGACTCAGAGCTTTACACACTCAGAGATGAGCACTCTCTTGAGCAGGGGTCCCCAGGATGTGTCTCAGACAAGCCCTGCCTCTGTGGAAGAAACCAGTTCCCCGTCTTCCCCAGTGACTTTATCTGCCGTGACATCACCCTCCCCTGAGTCTCCCCCATTACCAGGGAGGAGCTCCTCCTCCCCTACCCCTGTGACTTCACTTTTCACCCATGGTCTGGTGAAGACCACAGACACATTGGGTACTGGCTTGGGACCTGTGACCAGTTCACCTTCAATTGAGATCAGCTCCACCACTGAGACACTGTCCACTTCTGGAGTCTCCACAAGTACAGAGGTGATTCAGCCTTCCAAAAACACGACCGGGACCCATGGGGTCAACACAAGTTCTGGACCTGAAGCTCATTCCTCTGCCCCAGCTGACTCAGCACCATCCAATGTCACGTCTCCAATCATTCCTCTTTCCACCTCTAGAGAGACTGCTGTTTCCACACCAGTGCCTCACTCTACTGAAACTACGACAATTGAGACAAACTCCACATCCTCTCTGAGTCCTGAACTTAGAGAGACCAGCACCATCCAGCAGAACACTTCAACCACAGAGAAAATCACTCTTCTTTCCAAAGTGCCCACTGATACAACTACTGAGCTCTCTAAGACACAGCCCATCTCCTCCAGCAGCACGCTTATCCCTGGCCCCACTCAATCCACAGTGTCCCCAGACACCTCTGCAGGCATCATCAGCCTCTCTACATCCCCCGTGACCACAGAATCTGCAGAAATGACCATCACCAGCCAGACAGGTCTCCCTGAGGCTGTGTCACAGGGCACACTTACCTTGGACACATCAACCAGCTCTCCATCTTCCTCAGTGCCTTCAGCTGCCATGACGTCACCCTCCCCTCAGCCCCCCATAGTACCAGGGAAGAGCCCCTCCACACCCACCTCTGCGACCTCACTTCTCAACAGTAGTCTCATGAAGACCACAGAGAAATTGGGCACCATATTTGAACCAGTGACCACCTTACCTCCACCTTTGAGTAGTCCCACCATGGAGACACTTTCCACTTCTGAATTCTCCATAGACACAGTGAAAATTCTTCCTTCCATACACACCACAATGACCACTGAGCGTTCCAGCAGTTCTGGCCATGCACTCAGTTCCTCTGGCTCAATTTTCTCTGAGTCCTCCAGGATCACATATCCTACTTCCTCCATGGATGGGACCACTCTTCCCACATCAAAGCCTTCCTCCTTTGAGGCCACAACACTTGAGACCAAGAAACTTTCCCATCTGACGCCTGGACTGAAGGAGACAAGCATGACCCTGGGTTTCAGCTCCAGCACACTCACAAGCACACCTTCATCGGCTCTGTCCACTCATGGTTTGAAGAGTCCCAAGACAGATGTTACCTCTTCTGTGACATCATCAGCCCCAGTTCAGTCTCTGTCTACACAGGATACTGACATTCCAGTGGAAACAGTCACACACTTTTATGCTTCTCCCTCCATAATAGGGTCTGCTGGCATAACTCTCCCAGAATCCAGCCTTTCTTTGCCTGTATCAACAAGTACTCGTCACCTACACACAGATACGCTGTCTTCAGCTGAGACCATTCTTGCTAACACATTGACATCTCCCGTGTCAGAGACCATGGCTCCCTTTGCCACATCTGGAGTTCCAGGTGCCATCTCAGCTACCTCCTCAGATGGTACATTTTCTAGGACAGAATCAGACCCCAAGGAGGATACCAGGTCCACCACTGCAGGCAGTCTACCTTCTTCAGGTTCAACACCATTCCTCTCTTCAAGCTTACATACCACTGATCCTTCAATGAGCTCCCTTTCCCATTGGATTACTTCCTCCCCAGCCACCCCAAGCACAGTAGACAGCAACCTTGACACAGAGAGCAGAAGGACTAGTGAATCACCCTTGGTTACAACCAGTACTCTGCAGACTTGGAACCAGCCATACAGGACATCTTTGCCACCCATTATGGACTCTAGAATGACAGAGAGTATCGGTTTGGGAACAGTGACAAATTCTTTTCAAGTTATTCCACACTCAACACAGTCAACAAGTAAGGACCCACAGCTCCTACACTCTGATTATATGGGGCTTGGTTTCTTTCCTGAGAAGTCAAAAAGGAGTTGGGCTTCCCTGGTGGGTCAGATGGTTAAGAATCTGCCTGCAATGTGGGAGACCTGGGTTCAATTCCTGGGTCAGGAAGATCCCCTGGAGAAGGAAATGGCATTAATTAAGAGTCTGATTGTTTGTTGATGTTTAGTTGCTAAATCATGTCTAACTTTTTTGTGATCCCATGGACTGTAGCCCACCGGGCTCCTCTGTCCATGGGATTTTCCAGGCAAGAATACTCAAGTGGGTTGCCATTTTCTTTTCCAAGGGATCTTCCCAACCCAGGGATTGAAGGGGCCCAATGCATGGGCCTCCTGCATTGGCAGGCAGATTCTTTACCATTGAGTCACCAGGGAAGCCCTAGGAGTCTATTACTGCACCAGAAATTCCTTTAGAAAAACTATATGTTGATCTGTTTTCATTTCCAGGTACTGAGATGGGCACTGGGGAAACAAAACTAAGTAAGCAAGCAGTTGAGTAATGAGTACTGTGATGGATGTTCTAAGATTACTGCTAATGCCAATGATGGCAATAATAATAACAGCAACAAATGTTTGTAGAACACTTCTTCTGTGTCAAATGCTATTCTAGAAAGTTGTTTAATTCCCATTGGAACACAGTTTGAGAACGCATTATTATAAACCCGGTTTACAAATGAGTTATATAGATATAGAGAGAGGTTGAGTAATTTGTTCAAGATCATTAAAGCTGGTAAGTAGTAAGAACTCAGACTGTACAAGCAAAAGAATGGCACTAGGAACCATGCTCTTAACCATTAGGCTAAGAATGATCAGAGAGGTAGGAGAAGAAGCAGGAGATTCTTAGAAGCCAGAATTGAGAGTTCTAAGAAGTAATGGTTAGTTCTGTCAAATGCTGCAGAAGAGCCAAGTTGAAATAAGGTGAGAAGTTCTTTGACAACATGTGGTCCTCAAAGATTCCAATGAAAGGAGCATCACTGAGTTTTAGAGGACTGAAACAACAGGTAAAATAATACATACATAAAAGGAGAGATTTCCCCTTTAAACTGAGCCTGTTTCTATATTGAGAACAGAATCAGCAAGGAAAAGAGAAAGGAGTGAATGAAAACTGAGGGGAAAAGTATCTGTGGATATGGGAGGACCTTAAGACCTAGGAGGAGAAATACCACATTCAAAAGAACAGCAGATGAGGGAGGGAACTTAAGGGGATTTCATTCCATGGATAAATTGAGTTCAACCACAGATTTTGTTCTGGACACAAATCCAGTGAGGCCCTTCAACTACTCCAGCACCTGTTCACTAGGCAATAGGTACAGGAGGGTGATTTATTTCTCAAACTAGCTTTAACAATTCACAACCAAGTTAAACACATTGAATGGGATTGATGCATTCTTAAAACATAGCTTGGTAGTTGAGTGATGGATGTTCAGAAAGCAAGTGATGAATGGAATGGTAAAAAGGTAGAACTATGGTTGGGTGTGAGGAAGGGAGAAAGGGAGAATGAAGAGAGAGATGAATGAAGAAAAGATGGGTGTATAGAAGGAAGGATGAATATATAGTGGGAAGAATGAAAATAAGGAAGATGGATGGAAGGAAAGATCAAAGGAAATAGAGATTGAAGAAATAGGGATGAAAAGTTGCAAAGAAAGAAGAGAAATATGAAAAGAAAGATGCATGGTAGGAAGAGGATAAAAGGATGGATGGATGAAATAATAAATGGGTAAATATAGGGGTAGATGGATGGATGAATCTCTGGGTGAATGGATGGATCTATGAATGGGTGTGGCCACTCAAGACATAGAGCCCTGGTTCCAGTCCATACAGATGGTTGAGCAGAATTGAGTTGTGTAGTCAATTAAGTGGGTCCATTTAGATCATGTTCTCCTTTTGGAAGAGATGAGTTACCTTAGGTTTCTTCCCTACTTTCTCCTACAGCGACTGATGGCACTGTGAAGCGTATCACAAAGATACCCAACGAAGCAGCCCAGGGAGGCACCACCATCCATATTCCCCAGGCATCCACATCTGCTAGTCTTACAGGTAGGTTCAACATTTTATTTCCCAATAATCTGACTTATGCTTTTATTTCTTGCTTGAGACGGATGAAATGTTTCTTTTTTAAAAAATTAAAATTTTGTATTTATTTCTTTTATTCATTTATTTTTGGCTGTGTTGGGTCCTTGTTACTGGCGCATGCTGTTCTCGAGTTGCAGAGAGCAGGGGATACTCTCTAGTTGTGGTTCTCGGGCTTCTCATCGCGGTGGCTTCTCTTATAACGCAGTACTGGCTTTAGGGCATGCAGGCTTCAGTAGTTGCGGCATGGAGGCTCACTCCTTGTGGTTCCCAGGCTCTAGAGCACAGGCTCAAGAGGCTTAGTGGCACAAAGGCTTAGTTGCTCCGCAGCATGTGGGATCTTCCCAGATCAGGGATGGAAGTTGTGTCTGATGCACTGACAGGTGGACTCTTCACCACTGGGCCACCGGGGAAGCCCTGTTTCTTTGGACAAAGAACTATATGGCGGTGTCATGGGCTTCCCTGTCCCAGTTGGATCTTTGTCAAGTAGTTACCAGGTAGATGTTACTTTTCCTTCCCTCTTAACATGGCTGAGTGAGTTTAGTTCAAGGCTAAATGTGTCAGCTTCACATATTCGCTTAATTCTAAAAACGCTTATTATTAATTTACTGTGTGTTAGAGACTGTGACATAAACTGAGGATACATAGATGAAAATACTTTGGCATTGCATCCATGGAGCTCTCTCAGTCCAGTAGAGGAAACAGCAAAGGAACAAAATAATGATGATTTAACTTTTTTCAACTTTTATTGGAGGATAATTGGTTCACAATGTTGTTAGCTTCATACAGCAAAAGTGAATGTTTCATGTATCATATACATATATCCACTTTTTAAAAAACTATTTATCTGTGTCGGGTCTTAGTTGCAGCATGCAAACTCTTCTCTGTGGCACATGGAATCTAGTTCCTGACTAAAGATCAAACCCAGGTCCTCTGCATTGGGAGCATGGAGTCTTAGCCATTGAACCACCAGGGAAGTCCCTATCCACTCTTTTTCAGATTCTTTTTCCATATAGGCCATTACATAGTATTGACTAGAGTGCCCTCTGCTATACAATAAGTCCTCATTAGGAGTTTTTTGGCTGTGCCGTGTAGCATGTGAGATCTTAGTTCCCCAACCAGTGGTCAAACCCGCATCCCCAGCATTGGAAGTGCAGCATCTTAACCACAGCTACAGGGCCCAGTCAAAAAAAGAAAAAAACAGTGATCTAATTCTCACACCTTTTCTCTCTTCCTCTTTCTACTTTCACTCATTTTAGATTAGAGACTATTCCAATATGGTCCTGAGTTATTTATACTCTTTGGAATTTGGGCAACATAGCTGCCACCTGTGTCTATATTTAATAAAAAGAGCAATTAGATTTATTTGGCTTTCAGAGAGCTCTTTCATTTTATGTGCATGGTTCTTTGTTACAGAGAGTTTTACTTCATTATGTTTTTATATTTTATTTCTGTTATTTTTCTGATTTCTACTTGGGGGGAGAAAAAACTTATCTTGGTTTCCATTTTCAAGTTTTCATTGTTCTTTTTTTATTTTCACACCCTTAATATTTATAATGAACTCAGAAACTGATTTTTAAAAATTGTGTTCCTATTTTAAATAAATACTTTCAAATAAACCCACAACAACAAAAAAAGAATTAATGGAGGAGGCGCAGCCCAAGGTGAGTCAGGCAAGGAACATGCATGCTAAGTTGACTCAGTCATGACCAACTCTGTGACCCAGTGGACTGAAGCCCACCAGGGTCATCTGTCCATGGGATTCTCCAGGCAAGAATACTGGAGTGGGTTGCCATGCACTCCTCCAGGGGATCTTCTGGACCCAGGAATCAAACCTGCATCTCTTACATCTCCTACATTGGCAGCCAGGTTCTTTACCACTAGCACCACTTGGGAAGCCCCAGGTAAGGTGAAGGCATTTTCCCATTCCAGAAGGATCTGAGCACATACCAAGCAGAGACATTTCTCTCCCTTTCTTGACGTGGAGACAAAATAAGCAATTGCCAACCCAGTAAATATTAATCATGTTGTCCCAACTTTGTGTCCATCCTACACTTCACAGGATTGTCAACAGGAGGGACAGAGAGGACAGAGACCACTGCCACAGCTCTGAAGACCACCGCCACAGTGAGACTGACTACCAGAGTGTCTACTCCCACTTCAGGAATGCCGCCTGTCCTCGGGACATCAGATAAAAAGGCCAGCACAAGCACAATAGGAGTGATCGTCACAACCCCAGATAGTCCAAAGATGACAGCCTCTTTGACCACCAGATCTGGAGATGAGACCAGCACTGCAGTTCCCATGACAACCTCATCTATTTTCAGCAGAGGACCAGAGACTACACCCTCACTGGCCCCTAGTTCTGGGGCAGAAATCAGTGCAGCTGTTCCAACTCTGACTATTTCCTCGGATGAACCAGAGACCACAACTTCATGGGTCGCCCATCCTTCAGAGACCACTCCAACTGTTTCCAGGGCAATCTTGAATGTTTCTCATAGTGAATCAGACAGCACACCCCCAACAACTACAAGTTCTGTGAAAGAAGTCAGTACAGCTGTTCCAAATTCTACTGTCTCCCCTGAGGTACTGGGGATGGTGACCTCACTGGTTGCTAGTCCTGGGACAGAGACCAGCTCAGCTGATCAAACTCTGGCTGTTTCCCCTAGTAAGCCAGAAACAACAGTCTCCTTGATTACCCATCCTGGGGCACAGGCCAATTTAAGTGTTCCAACTCCAACTGTCGCCCCTGATGTATCAGGGGTGGAAATCTCACCAACCACCATTTCTGGGGCAGAGACTAGCACAGCTTTTCCAACTATGACTAATTTCCCACATGGACAAGAGACAACAGCCTCATGGATCACCAATCATGGGACAGAAGCCAGTCCCATTTTTTCAACTTTGACTGTCTCCCCTGACGAACAAGATACAACAGCCTCATGGCTCCATTCCACGGAGACCAGCACACCTGATTCCAAAACAACTCTGAATTTTTCCCCTAAAGAATCAGACAGCACATCTTCAGCAACCACCAGTCCAGGGGCAGAAGCCAGTTCAGCCACTCCAGTGATGACTGTCTCACCTAGCAAACCAGTGATGGTGACCTCACTGGTCATTAGTTCTGGGACAGACACCAGTACAACCCTTCCAACTTTGACTGGGTTCCTGCGTGAATCAGAGTCAACCATGTCCTTGGTCACCCAGCCTCCAGAGTCCTACCCAACTGTTCCCAAAACAATGCCTATTTCCCAGAATGGATCAGATACCATGCTCTCAGTGGTCACCAGTCTTGGGGCCAAAGTCAGTTCTGCTGTCCCAACTACAACTGTCTCACCTGGTGTATCAGGAATGGTGACCTCACTGGTTACCAGTTCCACAGCAGAGACTAGTTCAACTTCTCCAACTCTGACTGATTTCCTACATGAATCAAAGACCACAGCCTCATGGGTTACTCATTCTGAGACAAAAGTCAGTTCAACTGTTCCAACTATGACTGTTTTCTCTGAGAAGTCAGATACAGCAGTCTCTTTGGTTACCCACCCTGAAGAGACCAGCCCAACTGTTCCCAGGAAAATCTCCAATGTTTCCCATAGTGAATCAGACACCACATTCTCAGTGGCTACAAGTCCTGGGGAAGAATTCAGTTCAGCTGTCCCAGCTACAACTGTCTCACCTGCTGTATCAGGGATAGTGACCTCACAGGTTACCAGTTCTGTGGCACAGACCAGCACAACTTTTCCAACTGTGACTGGTTCTATGTACAAATCAGAGACAACAGCCTCAGGGGTCACCCATACTGAGACAGAAGCAAGTTCAGCAATTCCAACCATGACTAGTCCCCCTGGGAAGCCAGACACAACAGTCTCACTGGTCATCCATCCTGAAGAGTCCAGCCGAAGTATTCCCAGGCCAGCCCCCAGTGTTTCTCAGAGTGAATTTGACGCAACACCTTCAATAGCCACTAGTCCTGGGGCAGAAGGCAGTTCAGCTGTCCCAGCTATGACTATCTCACCTGGTGTACCAGAGATGATGACCTCACTGATTACCAGTTCTGTTGCAGAGGCTAGTACAACTTTTCTAACTCTGACTGATTCCACACACAAACCAGAGACAACAGCCTCAGGGATCATCCATTCTGGGACTGAAACAAGTCCAGCGGTTCCAACTATGACTGTTTCACCTAGGAAGCCAAATACAACAGTCTCAGCTGCCACTCATCCTGAAGAGACAAGTCCAACTTTACCCAGGACAACCCCCAATGTTTCCCATACTGAAACAAACACCACATTCTCAACAGCCACTAGTCCTGGGACAGAGTCTAGTTCAGCAGTCCCAGCTACAACTGTCTCACCTAGTGTATCCAAGTTGGTGACCCCTCTGGTTACTAGTTCTGGGGAAGAAATTAGTACCACTCTTCCAACACTGACTGCTTCTCCAGGTCAAATGGAAATCACAGCCTCATGGGTGACTCATCCTGAGCCAAAAGTCAGTCCAGCTATTTCAGCTCCAACTGTTTCCACTAGTGTACCACATACAGTGAACCCACAAGCCACCAGTTCTGAGACAAATGCTAGTATGGCTATTCCAGCTCTGACACTTTCTCCTGTTGAGCCAAAGACCACAGCCTCATTGGTCACTCATCCTGGGGTGCAGGCCAGTTCAGCTACTTCAGTTGTCTTCTCTACTATGCCAGGGTTGGTGGCCTCACTTTTCACAAGTTCTGGGACAGAGACAAGTACAGCTTTTACAATTCCAACTGATTCTTCACATAAACCAGAGACAACAGCCTCATGGGTCATGCATTCCACGGAGACAAATACTCCTATTTCTAGAACAATTCCAAGTTTTCCTCATAGTAAATCAGACATCACACCCTCAATGGCTACAAGTTCTGAGGTAGAAGCCAGTTCAGCCATTTTAACTACAACTATCTCCCCTAGTGTACCAGATGTTATGACATCTCTGATCACTGGTTCTAGAGCAGAGATCAGTACAACTCTTAGAACTATGACTGATTCTACACACAAACCAGAGGCAACAGCCTTAGCAGTCACGCACTCTGGGACAAAAACAAATTCAGCTATTCTAACTATGTCTGTTTCCCCTGGGAAGCCAGATAAAACAGTCTCACTGTTCACCCATTCTGAAGAGACCAGCCACACTGTTCCAAGGACAACCTCCAGTGTTTCCCAGGGTGAATCGGACACCACACCGTCAATGACTACCAGTCCTGCTGCAGAAGTCAGTTCAGCTGTCCCAGCTAAGACTGTCTCACCCAGTATACCAGGAATGGTGACCTCACTGGTTACCAGTTCTGAGGCAGAGACCAGTACCGCTTTTCCAACTTTGACTGATTCCTTATATGAATCGAAGACCACAACCTCATGGGTCACCCATTCTGAGACAAAAGCCAGTTCAGCTGTTCCACGTTTTCCAACCCTGACTTATTCTTCTCACAAACTAGAGACAACAGCCTCAGAGGTCACCCATTCTGGGAGAGAAACAAGTTCAGCTATTCCAACTATGACTGTTTCTGCTGGGAAGCCAGATACAACAGTCTCACTTGTCACCCATCCTGAAGAGACCAGTCCAACTGTTCCCAGGACAACCTCCAAAGTTTCCCAGAGTGAATCAGACACCACAACTTCAACAGCCACCAGTCCTGGGACAGAAACCAGTTCAGCTGTCCCAGTTACAACTGTCTCACCTGGTGTATCAGGGCTGGTGACTTCCCTGGTTACCAATTCCATGACAGAGATCAGTACAACTTTTCCAACTCAGACTAATTCCACACTGAAACCAGAGACTACAGCCTCAGGGGTCACCCAGACTGAAACAAGTTCAGCTTTTCCAATTCTGATTGTTTCTGCTGGAAAGTCAAATACAACAGTCTCATTTGTCACCCATCCTGAAGAGACCAGTCCAACTGTTCCCAGGACAACCTTCAGCGTTTCCCATAGTGAATCAAACATAACACCCTCAGCAAACACTAGTCCTGAGGCAGAAACCAGTTCAACTGTCCCAGCTACAACTGTCTCACTTGGGGTTCCAGGGTTGGTGACCTCACTGGTTACCAGTTCCATGGCAGAGACCAGTATAGTTTTTCCAACTGTGACTGATTCCATGAACAAACCAGAGACTATAGCCTCAGGGGTCACCCACACAGAAACAAGTTCAGCTGTTCCACCTATGGCTGTTTCCCACGGGACACCAGATACAACAGTCTCACTGGTTACTCATCCTGAAGAGACCAGCCCAACTGTTCCCAGGATAACCTCCAATGTTTCCCAGAGTGAATCAGACACCATACCCTCATCAGCCACCAGTCTTAGGGCAGAAACCAGTTCAGCTGTCCCAGCTACAACTGTCTCACCTGGTGTGCCAGGGACGGTGACTTCACTGGTTACCAGTTCTGGGATAGAGACCAGTACAGCTTTTCCAGCTCTGACTGGTTCCCTACATGAACCAAAGACCACAACCTCATGGGTCACCCATTCTGAGACAAAAGCCAGTTCAACTGTTCAAACTATGACTGTTTCCGCTGGGAAGCCAGATACAACAGTCTCACTGGTCACCCATCCTGAAGAGACCAGTCCAACTCTTCCCAGGACAACCTCCAAAGTTTCCCAGAGTGAATCAGACACCACAACTTCAACAGCCACCAGTCCTGGGACAGAAACCAGTTCAGCTGTCCCAGTTACAACTGTCTCACCTGGTGTATCAGGGCTGGTGACTTCTCTGGTCACCAATTCCATGACAGAGATCAGTACAACTTTTCCAACTCAGACTAATTCCACACTGAAACCAGAGACTACAGCCTCAGGGGTCACCCAGACTGAAACAAGTTCAGCTTTTCCAATTCTGATTGTTTCTCCTGAAAAGCCAAATACCACAGTCTCACTTGTCACCCATCCTGAAGAAACCAGTCCAACTGTTCCCAGGACAACCCCCAGTGTTTCCCATAGTGAATCTGACACCACACCCTCAACGGCCACCAGACCTAGGACAGAAGCCAGTTCAGCTGTTCCAGCTACAACTGTCTCCCCTAGTTTACCAGATACAGTGAACTCTGAGACAGACACCACTATGGCTGTTCTACCTCTGACTCTTTCTCCTGGTAAACCAGCAACCACAGCCTTATTAGTCACCTCTTCCAGTGCAGAGACAAGCACAAATTCTCCTGCTTCAACTGTTTTTCCTCCTTTATCAGAAACCACAGCCTCACCATCCATCTGGCCTGAGTTGAAGACTAGTACAGCTCTTCCATCTCAGACTGTTTCTCTCAGTCCACCAAAAACATTCTCTCTCTTCACCATACCTGTGACCACGACAGCCAGAGTTGATTTAAAGCCAACTGTTTCACTTGGTGTTCCCACAGAAACAGCCGCAGTCTCCACTGAGGAGACAGAAATCAGCACAACTATTGCAATGTCAGCTATTTCCCATGGTTTACCAGAGACCACAGGTTTACTGGCCACCAGTCCTGAAGCCAAGGCCAGTACAAGCCTCCCTGCTCTGACTCTTTCCCCTGGTGGTCTTGGGCCTTCCAGGACCCCTGCAACAACCATTGAGCTTTATACTGTAACTTCTGGGAACACAGAAACCTCACCACCTGCAACCTCAGTTGAACTCTCAGAATTTCCCAAAACTGTGACAGGGGGCACTGTGACCTTGAGACCATCAGAGACCACAATGCGACCTAAAACCAGTCATGTGGAAGGATTAAGTACAACCACTATCCTGAAAACCACCACTGTTGAGACCACTCATTTAGCTGCCACAGGTTCAGGCCCCACTGTGGCCGAGACCACAACCACCTTCAACACACTGGCTGGAAGTCCTTTTGCCCATGTGACCACACCTGCAACATCCACCTTGGCCCCTGTGACTGTGACTTCAGAAACAAGTAAGAATGTTTTTATTGTGATAAAATATAATATATATGTATATATATGAAATAATTGGAATATTATTACCCACTCCAGTATTCTTGCCTGGAAAATCCCACAGGCAGAGGAGCCTGGCAGACTATTGTCCATAGAGTTACAAAGAGTTGGACACGACTAAGCAACTTGGCATATATGAAATAGTATATACATTTACCAGTCATATGTAAATGGGTAACTCAGCAGCATGAATTACATTGGCACTGTTGTGCAAACATCTCCACTACCTGTTTTCAAATTTTTTTATCACCCTGAACAGGGTCTGTGAATTCATTAGGCAAAAATTCCCCCTTTCCCACTCCTTCCAGCCCATGGTAACACCTAATCTATTCACAGTCTATATGAATTTGCCTATTATAGGTATTTCATATAAGAGGGATCATACAACATATGTTTCCTTCTGTGTCTGGCTTATTTTGTTTAGCATGATATCTTCAAGGTTCATCCATGTTGTAGTGTTTATCACAACTTCATTCCTGTTTGTTGTTGCTGTTTAATCACTAAGTCGTGTCAGATTCTTTTGAGACCCCACGGACTGTAGCACTCCAGGCTCCTCTGTCCATGGGATTTTCCAGGCAAGAATATTGGAGTGGGCTGCCATTTCCTTCTCCAGGAATCTCCTTGACCCAAGGATCGAACTCGCATCTTCTGCATTGGCAGGCAGATTCTTTACCACTGAGCCACCAGATGAATAATATTCCATTTGTATGGATGGACCACATTTTATCCGGTCATCTGTTGGACACTCAAGCTGTGTCCATCTTTTGGCTATGATGAATAATGCTGTTATGAACTTGGGTGTGCACCAATCTGTCTGAGTCCCTCTTGGGTATACACCTAGAATAGAAATTGCTAAGTCTTCGGTGAATTAGCTTGCTAGGGCTGCCTTCACAAAGTACAACAAACTGAGTGGCTTAAGCAACAGAAATGTATTGTCTCAGGTCTGGAGGCTGGAGGGGGAACCTGGGAGAATGCACAGAATATGAACTGTGAAATTAACCCATCTTGGGTGGGGAGGGAGCTAGGATATTTATCCACCAACTCCCAAGAATCATTGCTACAGGGATGCTCCCTGGGCCTAAGTCCCCTAAGACAAAGAGATGCAGGTGCTGGTACGTGCTGAAATGGTAAGAGCAAAGGGGAAGTGGGAATAAGGTGATCAATTCTGCATCTCAAGAACCTACATGTTGTTGTTGTTGCTTTTGCAGTCACTAGGTCATGTCTGACTTTTCACAATGCCATGGACTATAGCCCACCAGTCTCCTCTGTCCATGAGATTTCCCAGGCAAAAATACCGGAGTGGGTTGCCATATCCTCCTCCAGGGAATCTTCCCAACCCAGGGATTGAACCTGTGTCTCCTGCATTGGCAGGCAGGTTCTTTACCACTGAGCCACCAGGGATACCCTTAGAATCCACGTAATCCCAAGCAAACTGGGATGGTTGGTCAGCTGATACGGGAGGATCTTGGACAAGGACTGCTGCATGAGGTGTCTCAGGTGGGACAGCCTCTGCCAGACCCCCACTTGGGCAATGGAGTTGAGGTGTGTCCCCAGAGCCTTAGCTTCCGCCCTCAACCCAGGCTTGACTCAGGACTGGCCTCATTTTACTATCCTTGCCATTGCAGCTGCAATTCCTTTCTTGATGCCCTTTACTGTCAACTTCACCATCACCAACCTGCACTACACAGAAGACCTGGGAAACTCGGACTCTAAGATATTCAAAGCCACTGAGACAGACCTGCAGCTGCTGGTGAGAGACCCGCACCAATGCCCACCTTGCCTCGACCTCCCAACGAACACCTTGCTGTCTGTTCCCTCTCACTCATCTCCCTCTCATTCTTTCCAGCTCAGGCCTTTGTTCAGAAACAGCAGCATTGGTTCCCGGTACGCCGGCTGTAGACTGACCTTGCTCAGGTGAGACGTCTTCCAAAACCACTTCCCAGGGAACTAAGATCCCACGTGCTATGTGGTATGGCCAAAAGGTTAAAAAAGAAGAATGAGTGAATAATAACCATATTTCTCCTACCTCACCCCCTGCCAAAAGAAAAGCATAATGAGGAAGGGGGTCATTGTTTCTATTTTTCCACAATATTACTATCTGGCTTTAGTGGAAGACACAGCAGAATATATGCTTCTGCATTCCATATTTTACAATATTTCACCTTGTGGCCTCTGGAGAAAAAAAATCATTGTATACTCTTGAAAGAGTAAAAGTGAAAATAATATCATTACTATGAAAATAGTTTTTACTCGGTGGATGCCCTGCAAGGTTGAGGAACTCTAGGGGTGTCTGGGCTGCACTTTGCGAACTATGTACTATGCTATAGGGACATGTGATGGGAATACTTTGAAGAGCATGGATAACAGCAAGCAGAATTCCCAGACAAGAGAGGAATGGCATCTTTCTTCCTTCCTGAAAAGCCGCTGCTTTGGGTGAATTACCGTAGGGTCAGCTTAAATTCAAGACAAAGATATTTTTTCCTTGATTTATTTATTTAAAATATGCTTTCATGGAACTAGTTCTTTTTATATATAACATTTTAAAATTGGAGTATAATTGCTTTTGCAGTAGGAAATGGCAACCCACTCCAGTTTTCTTGCCTAGAAAAGTAGACAAGGAGTGTACTAGGGGCTGGTAGGTGAAACAATGAGCTTGAATCAATTAATAAAAAGAATGAGGATAATATTGAAGTGAAGTGAAGTGAAATCGCTCAGTCATGTCCGACTCTTTGCGACCCCATGGACTGTAGCCTACCAGGATCCTCAGTCCATGGGACTTTCCAGGCAAGAGTACTGGAGTGGGTTGCCATTTCCTTATTACTAAGCCATAAAAAGGAACAAAATTGGGTCATTTGCAGACATGTGGATGGACTTTGAGAGCATCATACAGAGTGAATAATTCAGAAAAAGAAAAACAAATATCATAAATTAACACATAATTGGAATCTAGAAAAATGCTATAGATGATTTTATTTGCAGAACAGAAATAGAGACACGGGTGTAAAGAACAAATCAATGGATATCAAGACAGAAGGTGGGATGGAAGGAATTGGAAGATTCTGAGTGACATATACACACTACTGATTTGCTATGTATAAAATAGACAACTCATGGGAACATACTGTATAGCACAGGGAACTCTACTTAATGCACTCTGGGACCTAAATGAGAAGGAAGTCCAAAGGGGAGGGTGCATATGTAAATATATGGCTAATTCGCTTTTCTCTACGGTAGAAACTAACAAACATTGTAAAGCAGCTATACTCCAATAAAAATTAATTTTAAAAAATTAAAACTTAATAAAAAGAATGGTGACAAAAGAAAGAAACTGAGCTGAGGAGTGGCCCTGCAGAGAACTGCACTTAGGAGCTGGAGGGATCTGGAGCCCCACATAAGACGGAAAAAGATGTGTTTGAAAAAGCAGATGAAACCCAAGGAAGAGTGCTGACCTAGGGACTTCCCTGGTGGTCCAGTGGCTAAGACTCCACACTCCCAATGCAGGGGGGCTGGGTTCCATCCCTGGTCAGGGAACTAGAGCCCACACATGTTGCAGTGAAGACTTGGCACAGCCAAAACAATAAAATAAAACAAATAAATATTTTCAAAAAAAACAGGGAAATGATCCTTTAAAGGGTAAAAATGAACTTATATACAAAATGAAAATAGAGTTACAGTTGTAGAGAACAAACTTATGGTTTCCAGCAGGTAAGGTGCAGGGAGGGATAAATTGGGAGACTGGGATTGATATATACACACTACTCTATACAAAACAAGGGCTTCCCTGGTGGCTCAGATGGTTAAGAATCTGCCTGCAATGCAGAAGACCCGGGTTCAATCCCTGAGTGGGGAAGATCTCCTGGAGAAGGAAATGGCAACCCACTCCAGTACTCTTGCCTGGAAAATCCCATGGATGGAGAAGCCTGNCGGGTTCAATCCCTGAGTGGGGAAGATCTCCTGGAGAAGGAAATGGCAACCCACTCCAGTACTCTTGCCTGGAAAATCCCATGGATGGAGAAGCCTGGTAGGCTACAGTCCATGGGGCCGCAGAGTCAGAGACGACTGAGCAACTTCACTTCATTATACAGAACAGAGAACTCATTTATATAGATAACTAAGGACCTACTCTATACCACAGGGAACTCTACTCAGTACTCTGTTATGCCCTAGGTCTATATGGGAAATGAATCTTAAGAAGAGTGGGTACATGTCTAACTAATTCACTTCGTTGTACAGCAAAAACTAACAATACTGTAAATCAACTACCCTCCAATAAGAATTAAAAAAAAAAAAACCAAGGAGTGCAATTGAAGGGGAAGCATTGTCAAGAGCATCCAACCTTTAAGCGTCCTTCATGTTCCTGTTCTGTGTCGCTTCTTCCCCAGGGCTGATAAGGATGAAACCAGCACCAGGATGGATGCGGTCTGCACCTACCGCTCAGATCCCACAGGCTTCAGGCTGGACACGGAACGTCTGTATTGGGAGCTAAGCCAGGGGACCCAGGGTGTCACTCGGCTGGACCACTACACCCTGGACAGGAACAGTCTCTATGTCAATGGTGAGTAGCTCTGCGCTAGCTGGGGTCTCCTCCTGCTCCCCAGATGGGGTCTCCTTGCAGTGTGATTGCTCTGTACCCACTTTCATAGTTCTGGAACAACCTAGAATTTCCATAGGGACTCAGTTCTCTCCCCTCAGAACAAGTTAAAAGGAACTTTTCAGGTCTGGAAATAAAGGTTCCCTCCAAAGTCTTCTTCATTCCAATAACCTTTCACAGAAGCCCAAATGAACACGCAGACATCTAGGAAGAAAGCAAGCCCATGGAGGTCACTGGGGTTAACTCTTCCCCAAGAAACAATGGGTTTGAAATGCAGTGACTAATCCTCATGTCTTTATTTTCCCAATAACAGCTTGTGGTCCTTTACTCACTCTCCAAGGGCCTGCTGGAACACCACCCCACCCAAGAAACAAACAACAAAACTGTTAGTAGTGTTTTTAGCAACAAATTCCTTTGCAATAATGCTCTTAGCAACAATACCTACAATAACACCTGTACTGAAGGCTAGTATTTATTGAGGGACCCATGTTCTAGAGGGTTATATGTATTATACCTTGGTAATCCTGCCCAACATGGAGTTTTATGTATATTTGGAATTTTATGTATATTTTGCAGTTTTATGTATATTTTTGGAGTTTTCTGTATATTTTACAGAGGAACAAACAAGGCTCAGGAAGAGAGATCCATTTTTCCAAGACCAGACGAACTAATACAAGTGGTAGAATTGGGACTCAAACCTAAACTGACTCTAAAATCTAAGCCCACCTAATTACTAGGCTACACTGAAGACTAACCCAGCTAAATACCAAGCTCAAATATTAGGATGGAATAGCATATTAAAGGACTTCTAGGGACTTCCCTGCTGATCCAGTGGCTAAGACTCTCAATGCAGGGGACCCAGGTTCGCTCCCTGGTCAGGGAACTAGATCCCACAAGCTGCAATTAAGAGTTCACATGCCACAGGTAAAGACACATGTGACACAACTAAGCCCCAACACATCCAAATAAATAAGTAAATAGAAACAAACATTCAAAAAATAAAGGACTTCTAATATGACAATTTAAACTAATTAATTAATTACGTCCTCACTATATCACCGTGGACAATTTCTTTCTTCTCGGATTAAAATCTGTTTTGTATTTCAGTAGTCCTCAAGAATTACCTAAAAGCAGTAGTTAACTACTATGGATTTTGGTGAATTATAGGTTCTTGCTTCAGTTAAGCCCTGGTCCTGCCTTTTACTTACTCTGCGGCCCTGGGCAAGTCATGACCTCTCTAGACTTTTGTCCATTTTTTAGAATGAAGTTCTTTTTTAAAGTCACCTAAGATTAGTGTGAGGGTCAAATGAGATAAAACCTGAATAACTCAAGTTAACGGGGCACCATGTGGCCCAGTCTCAGAGAGGAGTTTTATTTCAATAAACCCATTCGAACCATCAAGTACAAAATAAGTATAAGTTTCAGTTACATTTCTTTGTTGTTATTGTTTATTCTCTAAGTCATTTCCAACTCATTTGCAACTCCATGGACTGTAGCCCACCAGGTTCCTCTGTCCATGGAATTTCCCAGGCAAGAATATTGGAGTGGATTGCCATTTCCTTCTACAGGGGATCTTTCCTACCCAGGGATCAAACCCATGTCTCCTGCATAGGTCAGTTCAGTTCAGTCACTCAGTCGTGTCCGACTCTTTGTGACCCCATGAACTGCAGCACGCCAGACCTCCCTGTCCATCACCAACTCCCAGAGTCCACCCAAACCCATGTCCATTGAGTCGGTGATGCCATCCAACTATCTCATCCTCTGTCGTCCCCTTCTCCTGCCCTCAATCTTTCCCAGCATCAGGGTCTTTTCAAATGAGTCAGCTCTTTGCATCAAGTGGCCAAAGTATTGGAGTTTCAGCTTCAACATCAGTCCTTCCAATGAACACCCAGGACTGATCTCCTTTAGGATGGACTGGTCGGATCTCCTTGTGGTAGACAGGTTCTTAACCACTGAGTCACCAAAGAGGATCCTAGCCATGATCCAGAACCATACTTATTCAAATCCTCTTTCCCCCATTTTCTCTTATTCTCCAACTTTATACTCTCTGGCTGAACTCCAAGTCTCTCTCTCTCTTCCTCTCTCTCACTATCTCAATCCCAGCATCACAGAAATCCAAGAACTATGCTGTCAAAGCTCAAGCTTTGTCTTTGGAGAGTTGGGGAGTGGGAGAAACTCAAAGAGCAAGGACAAGATTATATATCATGGATGAAGAAACACAAATAAGGCTGAAAACACTCACAGGAAATTGTTGTCCTTATTGTTCATTTGATAAAGCCCAAGTGGCTTAGATGGTAAAGAAGATGCCTGCCATGTGGGAGACCTGGGTTCAGTCCCTCGGTCAGGAAGACCCCCTGGAAATGGAATGGCAACCCACACCATTGAGACAGTGACAGAAAGGGAGAGAAAGAGAGACTTGGGAGTCAGCCACAGAGTATAAAGTAGGAGAATAAGAGAAAATCGGGGAAAGAGGATTTGAATAAGTATGGTTCTGGATCATGGATAGGGTCCTCTTTGGTGGTTCAGTGATAAAGAACCCATCTACCTATGCAGGAGACATGGGTTCAATCCCTGGGTTGGGAAGATCTCCTGGAGAAGGGAATGGCAACCCACTCCAGTTTTCTTGCCTAAAAAATTCCATGGACAGGTCCATGGGGTTGCAAAGAGTTGGACATGACTGAGAAACTAACACATTTACTTGGTGAGGTTGATAATATTCCAGGCAGCTGGTAAATTCCCAGCAATACTAAGAGTGATTTGATCATTGTTTTCTTTGAGGTTAGTGGTTATGAGGATGAAATTAATCAGAAGAACCAGAGTAAGAGGCAGTTCACTCACAAAGAGTAACCATCAGGACCTCCCCAGTGGTCAAGTGATTAAGATTCTGCCCTCCCAATGCAGGGGGGCACAGGTTCGATCTCTAGTCAGGGACCTAAGATCCCACATGCTGCACTATGTGGCCAAAAAATAAAAACAAAGAAGAAGAACCATCATTATTTATTGGTGAATCTCAAAGAAAATACTCAGGAAGGTCTGTGAGTTTGTGTTTTCTAGTTCTACACTTCACTCCTTTCTTAATGTTCTCCCATCATCTTATGCTTTCTTTCTGCCTCTCCTTTCAGGTTACAACCATCGGGACTGGATCCCTACCACCAGCAGTGAGTAATGAGGGCTCAAATGTTTCCATGACCCTGGTACCCTTCCACCCTAAGTGTGATCCCTGGGAGGAAGGCATGACCCATTCCCCAAATCCTCAGCCCCACAATAGCTTCAGACCAGCAAAAGTCTCAGGTTAAACCAAGGAACAGATGCAAGTTTCCATCAACCACTGTGGCCTCTCATAGCTTTATAAAAGGCCCCAACAATTTTATTCTTTCAGCTCCAGTAACCTCCACCTTCTCTCCAGGACCTCCAGCATCTCCAACTTCCATCCCCAGCTCTACAGGTAGGAATCTAACCTTTGGATCTCATGAAACTTCAACTTCCATTCAATGGCTGATGGATTCTTGCATGGTCTGGACCCTGACGCCCACAGAGCCTCAGCCCCTCCCACTGTCTACCCTGCTGCCTAGTCCAGCCTCATTTCTGTTCCTGCAGGGCCCAAATAGCCATCCATCCTTACTCTTCTTGGAACTGACTGTTCTAGGAACAGTTCTAGAACTGTTCCTAGAACTGAGTTCTAGGAACTCAGCTGTGCTTGGTTCTCGCTTGTTCTCCAGATCTCATCTCAGCATGTTCTTGCTCAGACACCACCTCCTAGAAAATAGCTTTTCCCTAGCTGATCTCTGTTCTATTTCTGTGAATAGTTCCATTGTGGAAATTACTGCTATTCTGTTACCGGGAATGTGGAGCAAAGGGAACCCTTGTACAGTGTTAGTGGGAATGTAAATTGATGTAGCCACTGAGAAAACAGTATGGAGGTTTCTCAAAAAACTAAAAGTAGAACCACTCTATGATCCAGCAGTTTAACTCTTGGATATATATAGCCAAAGAAAACAAAAACACTGATTCGAAAAGACACCGCACCCCCAACGTTCAGAACAGCACTATTTATAATTGTCAAGTTATGAAGGCAACCTAAGTGTCCATCAACAGATGAATGAATAAAGATCTGACTACACACACACACACACACACACATACACACGCGCGCGCGCGCCATGGAATACTACGCCATCTTAAAAAAGAATGTAGTTTTGTCATTTTTTAGCAACCTGGATGGACTTGAAGGGCATTATGCTTAGTAAAATAAATCAGACAGAGAAAGACAAGTACTGTATGATATCACTTATATGTGGAATCTAAAAAAATACAACAAGCTAGTTAATATAACAAAAAAGAAGCTGACTCACAGGTATAGAGAACAAAGTAGTGGTTATCAGTGGGAGTTGGGGAAGGGCAATACAGAGGTGGGGAGGGGGAGATACAAACTATTGGGTGTAAGACAGATTCAAGGATGTATTGTACAACACAGGGAATGTAGCCAATATTTTGTAATAGCTGTAAATGGAAATAGTTGCAAATTTAAAACTGTATAAATTTTTTTAAATCATTCAAAAAAATGATTAATAAATGTAGACTTGTCAATGAAATATATAAGATGCACTTTTTTTCAATTTTTATTAGGATATGTTGTGTTAGTTTCAGGTGTATAGCAAAGTTCTACATATATCTATATCCACTCTTTTTTTAGATTCTTTTCTGATATAGACCATGTAAGGACCCATATAGGTCATTACAGAGTGTTGAGTTCCCTGTGATATACAGCAGGTCCTTATTAGTGATCTATTTTATATATAGCACTGTATATATGTCAATTTCAATCTCCCAGTTTATTCCTCCCTCCCTCCTTCCCCCTCTGGTAACCATAAGTTAGGGTTAATAGAATATATAAAATGCACATTTTAAAAAGTTCCTGGTCAGCCCAGGTTGGATGAATGAGACAAGTGCTCAGGGCTGGTGCACTGGGAAGACCCAGAGGGATGGGATGGGGAGGGAGGCGGGAGCGGGGATAAGGAAGGAGAACACATGTAAATCCATGTCAATGTATGGCAAAAACTACTACAATATTGTAAGGTAATTAGCCTCCAACTAATAAAAATAAATGGGAAAAAAAAGAAAATACACAGAAAAAAAAAGCTACTGCTATTTTTATTTTCTTGAATTTTTTCAAGTATTTGTGGCTTAAAGCTTGAGCTCAAAAGGTCTTGGTACCTCCTGTTCCTACAAAATTGCCCACAACACGTCAGCCTTTTGGGCACTCTGGGATAAGGGAGTTGAGGTTCGCTTTCAAGTTGATGTCACACTTCTAAGACAAAGGTCCCTTCTCCTCCTCTGGCTGGCTGAGGAGTGGGAGGGTATCCCAGTGGGCTATCTCAGTCTGACTCACCTACCGTACAGTGATGCCCAGAGAGATGCCACTAGTCCCTTCCCCCCTCCACCTTGAACAGCTCGGACCTAAGACTGACAGGTCTCCTCTCTGTCTTTCTCCCTCCAGTTGCAGACATGGGCCCAGCCCTGGTGCCGTTCACCCTTAATTTCACCATCACCAACCTGTTCTACACCCCAGACATGGGGCGCCGAGGATCCGAGAAGTTCAACGTCACTGAGAAGGTTCTGACCCACCTGGTAAGCTCCCTCGGTCCCTGCGCTGGCCTGCCTCGTCCTCACCCCACCCGGCACCTTGGCCCCCCCGACTCATCCCCCTCTCACCTCCTCCTCAGCTTGGTCCTCTGCTCAGGAGCACCAGTGTCGGCCCGCTCCACTCTAACTGCAGACTGACCCTGCTCAGGTAAGGCACGGCTCCCCCCCGCCCTACACACACCACCCAAAGGGCTGCACTGTTATAGGCCGGCCCACCCGGAGAGGAAGACCTGTGGTTTATGATGTGGTGGGGCAGCTGTTGTCTAGCTGCTCAGTCGTATCCGACTCTTTGAGACCCCATGGACAGTAACCTGCCAGGCCCCTCTATCCATGGGAGTCTCCAGGCAAGAATACCGGAATGGGTTGCCATTTCCTCCTCCACGGAATCTTCCCAGCCCAGGGATCAAATCTGCACCTCCTCTGTCTCCTGCATGGGCAGGAGGATTCATTAAAAGAGAGACTGTTACCAACCAGGGTTCTTGTCCTTCTTCATAGAAATTGATCAGATGCCAGACAGGAAATCCAGGCAAAGCTTTATTGGAGTTCCCGCTGAAGCACTGGGGGAGTGAGGGCGAGCAGCGGTTCCCTTGTTTGTTTGCTCCGGAGGGACAGAGCAAACTGGTCCCTTGTGTGGGGTGAGGATAGGGGTGCTTCCAGGGGGTCAGGCCAGAGGGGTGACTTGGGTGGTCTGCCCTCCCGTTTGGTGGTGCTGTGTGCAAGGTGCATGCGTAGTACCCTATTTTTGCTCCCAAACCCCTGTTTTTGTTAAGTGGCAGTTGGGTTTTTTGTTGTGGTTGTTCTCTTTGTATTTTGTTGTCCATAATTTGCCCCAACAGCTGGGGCAGTGGTAGAGAGCCTGCCTGCCAATGTAGGAGATGCAAGAGACATGGGTTCAGTCCCTGGGTTGAGAAGATCCCCTGAAGAAGGAAATGACAGCCCACTCCAGTATTCTTGCCTGAGAAATGCCATGGACAGAGGAGCCTGGCAGGCTACAATCCATGGGGTCACAAGTAGTCAGACACAACTGAGCAAGTGAGCACACGCGCACATACACTCAGTTATTTTTAGCCCATTGTATTTTCTTCGTATTTTATTGCTGGAGGAGACATTTGTCCAAGTGCAAGCCCTGCATCAAAAAGTCTTACATCCCAGGTCCCAGCCTATTTCAAGATGAACAAAGTATGTAACTCCCCCACGTCTCTGAATGCCCCTATTGCTCTGTTCCTGCCATCCCAGGGCTGAAAAGGATGGAGCAGCAACTGGAGTGGATGCCATCTGCACCTACCATCCTGACCCCACACGTCCTGGGCTGGACAGAGAAAAGTTGTACCAGGAGCTGAGTCAGCTGACTCATGGTGTCACCAGGATGGGCAACTACACTTTGGACAGTAAGAGCCTCTATGTCAATGGTGAGTGTCCGTGTTGCAGCCAGGGTCCCCTACAGTCCCATGTCCCTCTATACCAATAGTTCTCAACCTGGGAAGACTCTGCATCCCAGGGGATATTTGACAATGATTTTCAAGTCATCACTGAAGGGGTGCTAGTGACATCTAGTGGTTAGAGGCCAGAAGTGCTACTAAACATTTCTTGTTCAGGCGTCAAGTTGTGTCTGACTCTTCGCAACCCCACAGATTGCCGCACGCCAGGCTTTCCTGTCCGTCACCATCTTCTGGAGTTTGCCCAAGTTCATGTCCATTGAATCGGTGATGCCATCCAACCATCTCATTCTCTGTCACCCTCTTCTTCTGCCTTAAATCTTTCCCAGCATCAGGGTCTTCCTAAACATCCCACAATGCAAAAGGCAGCCTCCCCACCATGAAGAACTCTCTAGGCCAGTGGTCCTCAGCCTTTTTGACACCTGGGGCTGGTTTTGTGGAAGAAAATTTTTCCACAAACCGGAATGGAGGTGGAGGGGGGATGGTTTGGGAATGATTCAAGCACATTACATTTATTGTGTACTTTATTTCTATTAATTGTGATATGTAATGAAATATATACCTGAGCTTCCCAGGTAGCTCAGTGGTGAAGAAGCTGCCTGCCAATGCAGGAGATTCGAGTTTGATTCCTGGGTTGGGAAGGTCCCCTGGAGGAGGAAATAGCAACCCACTCCAGTATTCTTGCCTGGAAAATTCCATGGACAGAAGAGCCTGGTGGGCTACAGTCTATGGGTTTGCAAAGAGTAGAACATGATGGAACATGCACACACATCACACCACAGCGACATTGGCAGCAGTGCCCCACCAAGACTAATAACCGCATCCGTGCTCACTTCGGCAGCACATATACTAAAATTGGAACGATACAGAGAAGATTAACATGGCCCCTGCGCAAGGANCAGAGTCAGACACGACTGAAGCGACTTAGCAGCAGCAGCAGCTAATTCTTACTAAAAGTTTCTTACGTGCCAGGAATTATGATAAGGACTTTATTTATGTGATCTTATATTAATTTTATCCCAAACTCTGTGCCTTATTCCACTCATTTTTTACAGACAGCCATCATGCATTCAGGCAGGAAATCATTTGCCCCAGATAATCCATCCATAATGCAAGGGAGAGTCAAGACTCAAATGGAAGGTTAAGTCTAAATTCCAAGTTCTGAACCACAAGGCAACACCGTAGACCACCCAGTGCAAGCCTGTCAGGACAGGAAGAGAGAGGGTTTGACGATCTCTAGCCAACAATCCAAACTGATGCTTGATTAGTTATTTCCTTCTATGTCAGCTTGGAAATGTCCTTTATATGTGGTTTGGAATATATATTTTACTGGATTGACAATAGCACATCCTGTTTGGTGTCTATAGAAGGTTTAACTCCAGAATTGGGACTAACTGAAAGCGTATTAATAGTATGGAGATTGATGAGCGACAGATCTCTGTTCTATGTGATGCTGGACAAGCCATGTGACCTCGCCGGGCTCTAAGGTCCCATCTACAGAATGGACTAAACACACATACCACACAGGATTGTCCAGACAATCAAATGAGATGATCTAGCAACAATCCAAGTAAATCACAGAGCTCCCCTTAGTCCAGGCTTCACTCACATCCCTCAGAGTATCAAAGACATGCAATCCATTATAGAAAAAACATCGTAAAAAATTCTCTTCTCGACTCACAGACTTAGAGAATGAATTTATGGTTGCCGGGGCAGGGTCAGAGGATGGGTGAAAGGGATAGCTAGGGAGTTTGGGATGGACATGTACACACTGCTATATTTAAAATGGATAACCAAGAGAGACCTACTGTATAGCACAGGGAACTCTGCTCGATGTTATGTAGCAGCCTAGATGGGAGGGGAGTTTGGGGGAGAATGGATACATGTTTATGTATGGCTGAGTCCCTTCACTGCTTGCCTGAAACTATCATAGTACTGTTAATCCAATATACCCCAATACAAAATAGAAAGTAAAAAATATATAATGCATCATCATTGGGGAAAAAAAAGAAATTCTCTTTTCCCCAGTTTCTTTCAGGCTCCAATCTTATACCATTCATCTGACCTTCGAGTCTATTCTCTTTCTCACTACCCAACCCCAGATCCAAATTTTCTCTGTTTTGAACCACATGCATCCCCTTTCTTCCATCTCATTGTACCTTTATCTCCATATACCCCTCTCCCCACACCCCTCTCCCCACCTGCCACAATTTTTCAGTTCTACATCACACACACACACACACACACACACACACACACACACTCAAAGAAAAAAACCAGAAACTAAGCCAGAAAAGATCATACTATCATAAAAATTTTGTGGTGGGAGAGAAGGTGAAAGAGCAAGGACAAAATTGTGTTTAGAGACTGGGAGAGCATGGATAATTCCTGGAGCACACACTCATTCATAAATTTGCCCCGTTACCTTTGTAGTGTTTAGCATTGTTTCTGATGCATTCCCAATAAATAAAGCCAGATATTACTAATGCGTTTTAATTTTGGCAATAATTTCTACTGTGCAGCCAAATGAATCAGCCATACATATTCATACATCCCCTCCTTTTGGACTCCCCCCCCCATTCAGATTACCGCAGCACCTTGGGTAGAGTGCTCTGTGCTATAAAGTAGGTTCTCATTAGTTACCTATTTTATACACAGTATCAATAGTGTATACAGGTCAATCCCTATCTCCCAATTCCACCCACTCTGCCTTTCCCCCTTGGTGTCCATACATTGGTTGGATGGCGTTACTGACTTAATGGACGTGAGTTTGAGCAAACTCTGGGAGATGGTGAAGGACAGGAAAGCCTAATGTGCTGCAGTCTGTGCGGCTGCAGAGTCGGACACAACTGAGTGACTGAACAACAACATCTATACGTTTGCTTTCTGTATCTGTATACAGTAGAAGCTAACACAATATTGTAAAGCAACTATATTCCAATAAAAATTAAGATACTTTGGCAATAACAATAGTGATGATGTTCATTGTTATTTTCAAAGGACAAGGCACAGAAGGGCACAGAATAAGATGTAACCATATTGTTCACGTGGATCTCAGAAAATTTGTTAATTTCATTTCTAGGTCTGCCATCCAACTCCTTAACTGTAACCCATCATAACAGTCCTTCTGTACTCTTTTCTCCCTTTCTGCAGGTTATAACCGTCAGTACTGGAGGCCCACCACCAGCAGTGAGTATTTCAAACTGTTCTTCTTCAATGCCCACTGGACCCTTATTCCCCAGAGCACATCTTTCAACAGAGAAGTTCCCAAAGCCTTCTCCCCAGATGCCCAGTCGTGGCCTCAGAGCAGTTCCTAACCTACCCAAGTTCTTGTTCTGAGTCAAGATAGAAACACAGGGACTTCCCTCTTGGTCCAGTGGTTAAGACTTCACCTTCCAATGTAGGGGGTGTGGGTTTGATCCCTGGTTGGGGAGACTGCATGCTTGCTCAGTTGTGTCCAACTCTTTGTGACCCCGTGGACTGTAGCCCACCAGACTCCTCTGTCCATGGGATTCTCTAGGCAAGGATACTGGAGTAGGTTGCCATGCCCTTCTCCAGGGGATCTTCCCAACCCAAGGACTGAACCTGCATCTCCTTCGTTTCCGGCACTGGCAAGTGGATTCTTTATCACTGAGCCACCTATAGAAGATCCCATATGCCTCATGACCAAAATACTAAAGCAGAAGCAATACTGTAACAAATTCAATAAAGACTTCAAAAGTGGTCCACATCAAAAAAAAATTTTAAGATAGAAATCCAAATTCCAATGAAAAATTTCTACAAGCTGTTGCAGATGGAACTCAATCATTTTCCCCATTTTTTTTCCTCAGCTCCAGTGACTCCTACATTCTCTCTGGAATCTTCCACATCTCTGTCCCCCATCCTCAGCTCTACAGGTAGGAACTGCTTTCTGGGACCTAGGAAACTTCGACTCTGCACTGTCTGGTCCCTATTGGCCAACCAGCCTCATCCTGTCCCACATTTTCTCTCACACTTTCTAAGCTTTGGCCACATCAGAGGATTGTTCTACTGTCCTAACCTCTGTCTTGCCTTTTTAGTAGCCCTTTCTGGAGATCAGGTATGCCTAGCAACTTATTTAACTTTCACATCTCAGCTTGATCACCACACCTTCACCGAAAGACCTTCCAAAACCACTTAAATGATACAGCATTTCTCCTGAATCCATACCTGGCTCACGGGTTTTTCTCTATCGTATCACCTTGAGTATTTCTTTCACGGAATTTACTCCAGCTTGCTTTATTCAGTCTTTGTGTATTTGTCACCCCGGAGCTTAACACCTGATCAGGATTCACTTTATATTTATTGATTGGATGAATGTAGCAATCTCTATATAGGTTCAAATTTGTGGATTGTATTTGAACATCCAGAAAATCATTTAGGATCTTAGTCTTGAGTTGATTCTTGCTCCATATCCTCGTCTGAGGGCCCCTGAATCTCCAGGTACCTGGTACAGAGACTTGGTTTATACCATAAAACCTGTCTTACCCCAGCCCTTAAGTTTTGGGGTTTTTTTTTCACTGCTGTGGATCTTCATTGCTACACATGGGCTTTCTTGCATTGCAGCGCAATGGCTTCTCTTGTTGCGGAATAAAAGCTCTAGGTGCATGGGCTCAGTAGATGTGGCACACAGGCTTAGTTGCTCCAAGGCATGTGGAATCTTCGCAGACCAGGGATGGAACCTGTGTCCCCTACACTGACAGGTGGATTCTTAAACCAGGAAAGTCCCAAGTTTTTTTTTTTCTTTTTTTGAGTCTTCGGGTCTTTATCATGCTTACATCATGGCCCAGGGTGAGCATTGTTGCTAATTCGCTAAATAGTGTCTGACTCTTTGCAACCCCAAGGACTGCAGCACACCAGGCTTCCCTGTCCTTCACCATCTCCCAGAGTTTACTCAAACTCATGTCCATTGAGTCAGTAATGTTGTCTAGTTCTGCAGCCTTTTAAAAATCTGACATGTGCTATAAATCAAGTCACCCCATGACTGAGGCTGTCATTTGTCTCTAGATGTATCCACAATTTGTTCTTCATCTTTGGTGTTCAACAGTTTGATCATGATGCATCTGAGCATGGTTTTCTTTGAATTTCTCCTCTTTGGGGTTTTATAAAATTTTTTGAATCTGAAAATGTATGTTTTAAAGAAGTTTGGGAAAGTTTCAGCCACCATGGCTTCAACTTTTTCACTTTGCTATACAGCAGAAGTTCAGACAACATTGTAAATAACTACTTCAGCTTGAAAATATTAATTAAAAATAAAATAAAATGCACTCTTCAATGATGGTTATTGACAAAGAAGGAGGGGTCACTTTCATGGGGGGAACAGTCTTGACCACTCAGTAGCTGTACATTCTCTCCTGATGAAGTCAGAGACTATGGGAGGTCTCTGCCGCTGGGGGTGGTCGAGTGACTTTGCTTCTCTTCCTCCCACAGAAATATCTAATAGCTGTTTATCTTTTTTTTTTTTTAAGCTGTTTATCTTTAGACACACCAGGCTGAAAAGAGTTGAGGTTCTTTTTCCAGCTAAAATTATCCTTCCCGTATGGAGGCCCCTTGCCTTCTCTAGGTCTGGCTGGATTCAAGGGTGACACAGGTTGGATATCTTAAGCCTGACTCACTGGATGCTGAGGCTAGGGTGACAACACTGGACCCACCATTTACAGCCATCCCAGCCAGAGGTCATAATGAACTTCTCTCTCCCTTCCCACTGCAGGCGTGAGCCCTTCTCTGGTGCCTTTCACCCTCAACTTCACCATCACCAACCTGAGCTACACAGAGGACATGAGTCCCCCAGGATCTGAGCTATTCAGCACCACGGAAAGGATCTTGAATCGCCTGGTGAGAACCCCTCCAGTGCCTACCTGTGTCGTGCCCAGACCCATGAGCATCATATGCTCACTTCCCTTTCTTTCATCCCCAGCTCAAACCCTTGTTCCAGAATAGCAGTATTGGACTCCGGTATTCTGGCTGCCGACTGATCTTGCTCAGGTGAGAATGCCAGAGTAGACACCCGGGTAATGCGGGGAAGGGGGTGGGGTGATGACCAAGACCTAGGCCCTCACATCTTATACCTACTACCCCAGGGACAGCTGACCACCAGCTCTCACCCTGCCTCACACTGTGTTTCTGACCAGAAAATGCGAAATCCTCTTAGATTCTCCTTCCCAGGAGATAAGGTAGAACTTTTCAGAAAGACCTTTCTTCTGGATCTCATCAAGGAAACAAATAATCATGTCAGCTTCAGCACTAGAGAGCAGTAGTTTTCAACCAAGAGTGATTTCGCTCCCAGGGGATATCTGGCTCTATCTGGAGACATTTTAAAAATCATGTTACTTACTTATTTCTTTTCGACTGTGCTGGGTCTTCGTTGTTTCGTGCAAGCGTTTCTCTAGCTACTGTCTAATGGCAGTGCAGAGGCTTCTCGTTGAAGTGGCTTCTCTTGTGGAGCACAGGCTCTTTGCGCAAGGGTTTCAGTAGTTGCAGCGCTCAGACTCGGTAGTTATGGCTCTTGGGCTCCAGGGCACAGGCTCAGCAGTTTCAGTCCACGGGTTTAGGTGCCCTGCAGTAGGTGAAATCTTTCCGAACCAGGGATCAAACCCATGTCCCCTGCATTGGCGGGCAGATTCCTACCCACTGTGCCACCAGGGAAGTCCAAGACATTTTTTGATTGTCACAATTCAAGAGTGGAGGTTACTCCTGGGGGTATCTAGTGAATGAGGCCAGGGATGCTGCTCAATAGCCTACAATGCACAGGACAGTCTCCCAAGGCAAAGAATTACCTGATCTGAATTGTTGATGGTGCCAAGGTTAAGAAAGCTTGCTGTAGAGGGTGCATCATTATATCTATGCATGCAATAAAATATTCACAAGCTTTTTTTAATAACTGTATTTATTTATTTTTGGCTATGCTGGATCTTTGTTGCTGTGTATGGGCTTTCTCTGGTTGTGGCAAGTGGGGCTCCTCTCTAGAGCACAGGCTCAGTAGTTGTGGTGCACAGACTTAGTCGCTTCACGGCGTGTGGAATCTTACTCTATCAGGGATCAAAGGAACCGTGTCTCCTGCATTAGCAGGCGGATTCCTTACCCCTGAGCCACCAGGGAAGTCCTACAGTCTTTTATATATTAAGTACTGAGAGTAAATTCAGCATGTGGAGACCCCCATATGTATACTCACGGTACCTTACTCCCTTGTGTGACATCTCCCAGTCACTGACCTTCTGTCAGAGCATGGAATGCCCCCAGCTCCAAAGATAGTCACTCTTGCCCTCCAGACATGATTCTAGGTCTTCCCATTTCCACTGATTCCACTGATCCACTGAGATATTTTTGGCTCTGTGATACCATCCCCCATTCCACCTCCACGCTAGACTGGCAGCTTGACCTCACTGTTTCTGTAAAAAAAAAAACTCAGTCTCTCCCATCACAGGGTCCATTCACCAAGAACACTGGCCCTATTAATGTGTAGTAAACTTGGTTGCCTTTTATTGAGCTAAGTGCTAAGTACTGTGAGGTCTCTACTCATTACCTCATTTAATGAATGAAAAAAACCGAGCCCCGGAGAGGTTGAGAGACTTAGCCCGAGTCACTCAGCAGTTGAGTGAAGGCTGGAATTTAAGGAGTCTGACATTGCCTTTTTTAACCTTGTTGAACCCTCAGATTCCTTCCTTCCATCCCCTCTGTCCTGCTTTTGTTGTGTGTGATGCCTTGTTACGAGTGCCAGCTTAGCACAGATATCAGCATTTCTAGATGCTACATCCTCTGTGTTCAGGGACCTTGGCTGGCATAGTCATTTCCAATTCTCCCCCAATACCAAAACCATTCCAGTTTTCCCTTCTCAGTTCCTTCCCTCAGTGAGGCTTTTCAGAGCCCTTTTCTGGAATTCCCACCTCCCTATACCTGTGTCCTACCCTACTCAGGCCTGAAAAAAACAGAAAAGCCACTGGAGTTGATGCTGTCTGTACTCACCGACCTGACCCCATGGGCCTTAAACTAGACCGAGAGAGGCTGTACCGGGAACTGAGCCATGAGACTCATGGTGTCACCCAGCTGGGATTCTTCACTTTGGACAAGGACAGCCTCTATGTCAATGGTGAGCATCTTTTTTTTTTTTTTAGAAGACAAACCAATGTTTTATTCCATCTAAATAATGTTAACATATTTTAAAGGTTTTTTGTTTTAATGCATATCAGATATTTCCAACAGTGTTATCTTTCTTAGGTTGTTATTGTTATTTTAGTCACTTAAGTTGTGTCGGACTCTTTGCAACCCCCATGGACTGTATGTAGCCTGCCAGGCTCCTCTGTCCATAGGATTTCCCAGGCAAGAATACTGGAGTGGGTTTCCATTTCCTCCTCCAGGGATCTTCCCAACCCAGGGATCGAACCCTTGTCTCCTGCATTGGCAGGAGGATTCTTTACCACTGAGCCACCTGGGAAGCCCTTCTTAGGTTTTTATAAATAGTTCTAAGTGGGCTTCCCTGGTAGCTCAGCTGGTAAAGAATCTGCCTGCAGTGTCGGAGACCCGGGTTCGATTCCTGGGCTTGGAAGATCCCCTGAGAAGGGAAAGGCTACCCACTCCAGTATTCTGGCCTGGAGAATTCCGTGGACTGTATAGTCTATGGGGTCACAAAGAGTCATACATGACTGAGCAACTTCACATTTTCACACCAATATAAAATAAAAATTTAAAAATACCTTATACATACACATAGATCACTTATGGAGTGCCTTTGCATTCTAACTGTATGCCATGTGTCCTGCCATTTAACGATCGAAACTCTAGAAAGAATCATTTTCTCCATCTTAGACATAATAGAGGACAGACACTCATCAAATGCTTTCACTGTCAGAGATGGGCAAATCTGAGTGTCCTTTTTGTAACCACACATTGAAGCTGAGACTCTGCCCTCCCAGAAGGGATGGGATTCTCCAGTTTGCCACAGGACCCATCCTGTGTATCATTTCCCACTTGGGCAATCTCCCTTGATAACTCAAGAAAGCCCATGGGCTCTTCCATTTGCATTCCTGCATTCCAGGACTTTGATTTATAAACTTGTCTGAGGCACAGAACCTTTCTCCAGAAGATGAAAGAGACTTGGAACTTCCCTGACGACCCAGTGGCTGCGACCCTGCATTCCCAATGCAAGGGCCCCAGGTTTGATCCCTGGTCAGGAAACTTCCTTAGTGGCTCAGATACTAAAGAAACTGCCTGCAATGCAGGAGACCCAGCTTCCATCTCTGGGTTGGGAAGATCCCCTGGAGAAGGAAATGGCAACCCACTCCAGTATTCTTGCCTGGAGAATCCCATGGGAGCCTGGCGGGCTATAGTCCATGGGAATTGCAAAGAGCTGGATACAACAGAGCAACTAACACTGCTTCTAACAGGGAACTTCATCCCACATGCTACAACTAAAACCTGGGTGCAACCAAATAAATAAATTTTAAAAAAAGAAGATGAAAGATACTATCAATCTACCTGTAACCAATGGGGACCCAAGAGTCTGGCCATTCATCTTCCCCCTGGCAATATCTCAAAGTCTCCTCTAGAAAAGCACAAATTTAGGGCCCATGTTCTAGAAATGGCAGTGTATTTATCTTCCCAAATAAATTGCAAGGGCTCCCTTTGTGGCTCAGCGGTAAATAATCCACCTGTCAAGGCAGGAGACGCAGGTTTCATCTCTATCGGGAAGATCCCCTGGAGCAGGAAATGGCAACTCACTCTCATATTCTAGCTTGAGAAATTCCATGGACAGAGGAGCTTGGCGGACTACAGTCCATGGGGTTGCAAAGAATTGGACATGACTTAGTGGCTAAAAAACAACTGCAAATTGTGAACCCATGAAGACATATACTGGGTCTTTGATTTCTCAGCCTGGTGGACTATAGTCCATGGGGTCACAAGCCTTTTAAGAACAAGATACAGTTGTTCCTCCATCATAACTGTTGTTTTGCAACTTGAAGTCTCAGTTGAGGGTGGGGTTGTTGGTCCTTGAGCTCTATCTTGGCAATCTCTTACCTGCTTGCATCCCAATCCTGTCTCCGTTTCTCATTGCAGGTTACACCCAACGGACCTCAGCCTCCACCCCCAGTGGTGAGTACTCAAGACCTTGATAACCATGTGCTCCAGGCCCCTGGTGGACAGACAGTGATCCCCTCCTTCCAGAGCCTCAGGGAGCAGAGATATGGGAGGACCTGGGTGTCTCATCCAATGCCCGCTACATACAGTGGCTCCAATTGGACAGGAAAGATGACATGGTGGCATCCATGCCCCGCTTGGAATCCCTATTCTCACTCCAGACCATTTCTCCTCAGTTGCCGGAACCTCTTCACCCTTTCCAGGGACCTCCATGGTGCCATTCCACTTCCCCAGCTCCACAGGTAGGTGACTTCTTTCTCCAGATCTTTCTGTTGCTGTGTGCGTTTAGTCACTCAGTCATGTCTGACTCTCTGCGACCCCATGGACTGTAGCCCGCCAGGCTCCTCTGTCCATGGGATTCTCCGGCAAGAAGACTGGAGTGGGTGACCATGCCTTCCTCCAGGGATTTTCCCACCCCAGGGATCAAACCCAGGTCTCCCGCATTGCAGGTGAATTCTTTACATTCTGAGACACCAGGGAAGCCCCCAGATCCTTCTAGGAAGCCTCAAAGTTAGGCCCCATGGGTTTCAGAGACAAGCTGCCGTGAAACAATGAGAACTACCATGGGCTGCCCTGGCACTGCTCTAAATTCCTCAAGGGCATGAAATACGAATTCTTCATCCATCCAGTTCTGTTGACCATGGGTAATTTACGTATCCTCTCAGTGCCTTTGCGCTTAGTCACTCAGTCATGTCTGACTCTCTGCGACCCCATGGACTGTAGCCCGCCAGGCTCCTCTGTCCATGGGATTCTCCAGCAAGAAGACTGGAGTGGGTGGCCATGCCTTCCTCCAGGGATTTTCCCACCCCAGGGATCGAACCCAGGTCTCCCACATTGCAGGTGAATTCCTTACTGTCTGAGCCACCAGGGAAACCCCCAGATCCTTCTATGAAGCCTCAAAGTTAGGCCCCATGGGTTTCAGAGACAAGCTGCCGTGAAACAATGAGAACTACCATGGGCTGCCCCGGCACTGCTCTAAATTCCTCAAGGGCATGAAATACGAATTCTTCATCCATCCAGTTCTGTTGACCATGGGTAATTTACGTATCCTCTCAGTGCCTCAGTTTCCTCACCTGCCAAGTAAGAATAATAACACTTGGTAGTCGTTGCGAAAGTGAAATGAAAATGTGAGTAAATCAACTATATGCCAATAAAAAAATTAATTTAAGAAGAAAGATGTGAATAAAACACCTGCCACAGGGAATACCAGGGATTTTAGTGTGACAAATATTTATTGGATATGTGTTCTGTGCTAGGCAGAGGGGATAAGATGTTAGTCCCCCGCCCCCTCCACTAAAGGCTTCCCTTGTGGCTCTGGCGGTAAAGAATCTGCCTGCAATGCAGGAAACCTGGGTTTTATCCCTGGGTCAGGAGGCTCCCCTGGAGACGGAAATGGCTGCCCACTCCAGTACTCTTGCCTGGAGAGCCCCAAGGACAGAGGAGCCTGGCGGACTACAGTCCATGGGGTCTCAAACAGTCAGACACGACAAACAACAATCTTTCTCAGTCGAACCCTTGGCAGCTACTAATCTGTTTTCCATCTCTATGATTTTGTTATTTTGAGAATGTTAGATAAGTACATGTAACCTTTGAGGACTGGCTCCTTTCACTCAGCATAATGTCCTTGAAATGTGCTGACTCTTTTAACAGTCACTTAACCTTCATCATTTCTCTACAATGCATAATTCTCCCCATTTTACAGATGAAGAAATGGAGATAGGCAGACAAGTTAAGTAACATGCCCCTGGTCACATGACTGGTGAGGAGCTGAGAGAATTTACTTATAGAACCAATAGAATTTACTATTTAAATTTTTTTTTGATTTACCATTTTTAAGTGTTTATTCACAATGTTGTACAGTCATCACCACCATCCCTTTCCAGAAAATTTGAAGCATCCCAAACAAAAACTCCAAACCCATTAAACATTAAATCCCCTTAACCCCCCATGCCCAGCCCTGGTAACCTCAATTCTCGCTTCTGTCTCTGTGAATTTACCGAAATCTAGGTAACTTTATTTGAGGGAGATCATACAGTATTTGTCTTTTCATATTTGATTTATTTCACTTAGCATAATGTTTTTAAGATTCATCCATGTTGTAGAAGTATTACAAGTTCATTCCTTTTATCAGTTCAGTTCAGTTCACTTCAGTCCCTCAGTCACGTCCGACTCTTTATAACTCCATGGACTGCAGCACGCCAGGCCCCACTGTCCATCACAAATTCCCGGAGCTTGCTCAAACTCATGTTCATCGAGTGGGCAATGCCATCCAACCATCTCATCCTCTGTCATCCCCTTCTCCTCCTGTCTTCAGTCTTTCCCAGCATCAGGGTCTTTTCCAATGAGTCAGCTCTTCGAATCAGGTGGCCAAAGTATTGGAGCTTCAGCTTCAGTATCAGTCCTTCCAAAGAATATTCAGGACTGATTTCCTTTAGGATGGACTGATTGGATCTCCTTTCTGTCCAAGGAACTCTCAAGAGTCTTCTC